TTAGTCAATTCCTATGACAATTATAAACATTGCAGGCAACCATTCCGACTCTGTCGCACCTCCACCCTAACCCCTGCCTGGTCCGAGACATCTTCCCAACTACTGTGCACACGTCTTTCTCAGACATTTTCCCGTGCATTCACATACAATGAGCTCGTCAAACCTTTCAGGGATTGTTCAATGGGTTTGTTTCATAATAATGTTATATATTTTGAGGTAATACATAAATTCCATTTAATCAATGTGATTTTTCTTAGTGTTAGATCCAGATAAAATATGAATGTAATTTTAAAGCTAAAATACTGTATAATGTTGATTTTTATACCAGTTTCACTTACTGTATGCAAGTCTGTCTCAGTTAACACTATATAATTTTGCTCCTAAAAGCTCAGTATAAAAATGTGTTAGCGTCAACTGAATATTGCTATAAATTACATTCTTCTTTTGAAACTATGAACTTTTTTACTATAAAAGTAATTTTCTATGTATATATATGTACATATATATATGCAGAACTCTCTTCTCAGCATCCTAATTCTGCATGTATATATATAATTCTGTATGTATATATATACATGTTTATATACATGTATGTATATATAATACATATTATATATAATTTAAATATATTTAAATTTTGTATATTACATAATTACTATAGTACTTATATTATTAATATATAATTATTAATTATATTATATTTTTATATAAATATAAAGAAAAGACTATTTTCTCTCCCAGTCATTCTCTCCCAGAAGAAACCATTGTGTCCATTTTCTGTGGAAGTTCCAGAAATCACATTCACAGGTGTTATTTAATTCTCACTGTCTCTTTTATGTTCAGTGTACACACATACAACCCCATATGTATTCGTTTATTCATGGTTGGGGTGAAAGAGCTGGAGTGTGTACCATGGGTGTACTCAGCACTAAGGTGCACATTCTGTTAGCTCCACTTTCTGGATTACAACGCTGAGCACCAGAGATGTGAAATAACTTTTTCAGGATCTTACAGTTAGTGACGTGGCCACTCCAAGTGCTCACTTTATAGACACTCTAATTGCTTAATTATGAAAGACACTCCTTATTAGAAGTCTAAAGGGAACTCTCAAAATTAATGCTAAATTTCAAAAAAGTAAAGGGGGACTGGAAGGGTGAGGGTGAGTTCTAGGAACAGTTCCTAAAATTATATCCCTGAGCTTAAATCCCAGCCAGCAGATGCAGGAAGCGACCAGATACGGGTCACCCAGTGCTTGGCTGCCCAGTGGGACTGTGGAGAACCAAGCTCCCTAAACCAGGGGAAAGGGTCTGGTTTCAGAAAGCAGTTGAGCTGCTGGGAATGGAGCAGAAGTTAATTCCCACCAGCCTGAAGCTGCCTACATTCACATGGACATAGATCCTGAGAGAAGCCCCTTGCAGTTGTGGCATTGGCTGGCTCTTTTGGATTTGTATCAGCATCACGGGAAACTTGAAGCATCGGTGCGTGAGGGCTCAGAAGTCCTCCTAGAAAGCCAGGAGGACCTGGGAGCAAGAGTGCATGTGCTCTGTCCTCTTCTAACAGAAACAGCGTGTTTCAAAGGAGAAAGGACAGCTACCGTTTACTGGGTAAATATAGCTAATGGATAGGTGGTGTGCTGAGTGCCCTTCACTGACATTGCGTCTTCATGACAACTCTGTGAGATGGAGAAAGTTGAGACCTATTTCATAGATGGTGGTTGTGGCCCTCAAACATTAGGTCACTTCGAGAAGGGCACAGAACTGAAGTGATGGAGGAGGCATCAAATACCTGACTCCAGAATCTATACTTTTGCTTATTCTGTGCCCTGGGCTTAGCAGCAAAGCAGACAAAGCAGACAATTGTCACCATGGTGGACACAATTAAGTCTATTAACCACTTTGTCTCTTGTGGACATTTCTCATCTTAAAGCTAATTATCTGTTATTTAGTTAGTGTCTTCTAGTTACTCAGTGAAAATATTTGATAAGCTTAACTTCTTAGGCTATAGTTTCTTTTTTTAATTATGAAATCTAAATTTATAGTGGAATGTAAACAACCAATCATTTACTTGGCTTCCAAGTAATCATTCCAGAGGCTTCCTGGAATCAATGTTTTTCAAACTATGAATTATAGTTCATTAGTGTGTTATAAAATCAATTTAATGGGTCATGATATGCAATTTATTTATTTATTTATTTTAATCCTCACCCGAGGATATTTTTTCCATTGATTTTCAGATAGAGGGAGAGGGAGGGAGGGAGAGGGAGAGAAAGAGAAATATTGACATGAGAGAGACACATCAATTGGTTGCCTCTTGCATAACTCTGACCAGGGCCGGGGATCAAACTGCAACTGAAGTTTGTGCCCTTGACCAGAGATGAACCTGCTACTCTTTGGTCCAAGGGCCAATGCTCTACCTGCTAAGCCAAACCAACCAGGGCTATGATCAGCATTTTAAAGAATAGAATAGGATAAGATTGGATGGGATAGGATAGGATAGGATAGGATAGGATAGGATAGGATAGGATAGACTAGACTAGACTAGACTAGACTAGACTAGACTAGAATAGAATAGAATAGAATAGAATAGAATAGAATAGAATAGAATAGAATAGAATAGAAAAATATCAGTGGATTGCACACAGCAAGAGTATCTTTTGTGTAATTTTTACTTCAGTGGCACAAATTTATTTGTGCATTAATTCAAAATGTATTTCTTAACTACTGTAAGTCACAGTTTTTTAAAGTTACTTTGGAAATAGAAATGTGAAGAGATGTATGATTAATTAAATCAGTTATTGTTCTTCTCTGTAGATAACTTGTCCTGTAGCTCCTAACACAGCACCCTTAGCCATTGGCCTAGGTGTATTTCAAGTAGAGCTTTCTGTACATATCTGTATGTTAATCTTTCCCCAGATCCTTAATTAGATGAATGTGTCTGTTAGATTCAAAACATGTTTTGCATACTCAGGGCGAAGTGACATTTTCAAAAGCTGTGGTGAGTTAGTAGCAGTAGTGGGACTAGAATTAGATTATTTATGGATTCTTTCCAGACTGGAAAAAGGCAGGGTGAGCGATGGCTCTCATACTGAGGTCAGTGAACATCTGTTCCTTCATAAATGGAGCTAGAGAACAAGAGAAACACACTTTGATTGCAGCAGGAGGGATCAGGCTAGACCTGGGGAAGGATTTCCCTGTGGTCAGGAGTGGGCGTGTGTAACACCCCTCCTCGGAGGTCTTGAGAAGAAAGAGTAGGATCAATTTCCTTCTGCCATGGGGTCCTTTGGGGGGCAGCAGGAGGGTGGGGAACCTGAGTTTTCCCATCCTGAGATGTCCTTCCTTTAGCCACGCTCTCACTCTCTCTCCCATTAGCAAGCATAATTGGAGCTGGCCGTGTTTCTGTCCTCAGCCACGGATGGATGTGACGAATGCCGTGGTGTTTCTCTGGACTGCAGTTAGTTTTGCTTTTCATCCGAACGTCAAACCAAGCCTGCAACAGCTGTGATCAGCTGTTGGAAGAAGGGGAGTTGAGTGGGGAGGGGGCAGCTCCTGGCCTCTTGCCCAGCCTTCTTTGAATGCTTAGTGTCCACCTCTCAGTTCGTCTCTTTCTGCTGCTGACTCTGCCGCTAGGCTTTTTTCTGTCTCCCCGTAGGCACCTCTTTCCAGGCCTTGTATTTTTTCTCTTCTTCCCTCACCTCTCCTTGGGTCATGAGAAGTCACCACACTTTGACATGAATCTTTCAGAACAGCTGGTGCATTCAGGGTAGGGGAAGCTACAGAGAGCACCCACTTCTGCATCCCCTGCCCCCAACTGCTGCTGGTGGTAAGGTGCTGTATGAATGTCGGAGAAAAGCCTGAATTCAGCCGGACGTGTGCTCTTGCCTTGACTCCACCTCTCGCCGGCCATGAGACCTTGGTCAAGTACTTGAACTCTAAGCCTCAGTTTCTTCCCGTGTTACATGGGGATATCGATGCCTGTCTGGGGATGCTGTTGTGAAGATTAAAAGAGAAAACGTTCAGAAGAGTTCCTTGATCGGGGATGAACACGTACTGCCTGTTTCCCTTCCCACCCCTCCTCAGACACCCTACATCCTGCACTGTGGTCTGATACCACCTGACCTCTTCCTCCAGCCCCAGGCTCACATTGATTTACTGAGCACCAAAGCTTTGTCGAATTTCATGGAGGAAGCAGTTTCGTGAAGGTTAATAATCCTTCTGGTACCAGCTTTTGTCATTTTTCCAGGCTTGGAAAATAGGGAGTCTGAGAAAAGGAGCCATTTTTAACATGAGTCATCCCGGGACACGGGTGAAAAAGCCCTGGACCTCCCCATGGGTCTGAGGAAGAGGCATGAGTTCACGTCAGGCCACTGACACTTTGTTTCTCATGCCATGTAAACAACTTACAAAGATGACTAGCAAGCTAGGATGATGTGGACCAATCATGACTACTGCCATCAGTCTTCCCTTTCTAAATTCACTCAGCCGTCCGCGTAGTCGCTGTCCTTCGGGTACAAGAACGCAGTCATCAAGCGAGGCCACGCTTCTCAAGGCTGCCCCAAGGCAAACGCCTGGGCGTGAAGCCTGGGGTGGTCTGTATCTTCACTGAGCCCACGGGCCGCAAAGAACTGTATGAGGGTCGTGGGTCTTTGTTCCCCTCCAGAGCCCATAGCTAATGGGAGCCAAGTTGGATTCACTGTCCTGGGGTCCTGTCGTGATTCTGGGGCTCCTCTGGAAGGAGAATCCAGACACCAGAGGAAGCTTTGGGGAATGTTGGAGAGAGAGTAGGAAAGACATTTCTAGTCTGACATGCGCTTTTGTGGACTTCAGTGTTTATTCCATGAACACTTGTTGGTTGGGCCATGGATTGCTCCGCTCTACCCGCCATTTCCCAAGTCGGAGAGCCAAGGGCTTTCCTGCTGCTTTGACCCCCAATGGTTCCCCGAGAGCAGTACCCCTTTTCCACCATCTCTTCTCAATGTTAACACCCCACTTCTCTTTGGACAGGTTTAAGGATTACCGAGAGCCTCCATGGGCCCCGAACCCATATGAGTATTCCAGACAGTACTGGTCAATTCTGTCTGCCCGGCTGGCTTTTGTCATAATCTTCCAGGTGAGTTATTTGAAGAAGAACTTGCCAGTTAGAATTCAGGCTTCGAGAGTAAAGACAGCGTGCCTCCTGGCCTGGCCCTCAGCTCCAGGCTTCCACAGCCCAGGCGACACGAGGGCTTTCGCATGTGACAGGCGGTGAGTGCTCCCTACCCCGGGCTCCCATGGATTGATGGGTTTGCAGAGAGACTAAAGCACAGAGTAAGGTTACAAGACAGATGTGGAGTAAGTTGCAGGGTGGAGGAGATTCCATTTCCACCCAAGACGACAAAGGGAAGCGGGACGAGCCACGGAAACCAGAGTCTGAACTCTCCTGCAGACAACCGGCCCCACCTGAGCCTTTCTTCCTGCCCGCTCGGCCGGCTCCCACCTTTGTTCCTGTCGTTCTAGCCCCTGAGACGTCTGGTGGGAAGGGCCGCCAGGGCCATCCCGCCATCCCTGAATGAATAGCAAACTTGAACCCATAGATTCCTATCTCCCACAATAGCAGCAGCTCCGATTGCACTGCCGAGACTCGAGCAGGGGCCCCCCTCCCACTCGAGGTCCTGCCGTCTTCAAGCAGGGCTGGAGCACGGGCCCAGACCCTTTTCCCGTCCACTCCCTCAGGCTTTTGTATTCCCTGAAGGCAGATCTCTGGAGGGCTCTAAAATATCCTGCCCCCGACCTCAGCCCAGGAAGCGGAGAAGCCCACCGGCTAGTCTTTCACCCAAAGAAGACAGCCATTCTTCCTCTGGAGAGATGGGGCGATATATTTGAGAAATTGCTCAGACATCGTCCTGCTGCCCCACCCACAGGAGTCGCCTCACCCGACCATCTGTCATGTGTAACATCCACGCGTACTGTAGGAGTTGGCTTGAAAGAAGAGTGTATGACTTGAGGCAGCTCTAGGTTACTGAAGGCAGCCGGAAGTCTCTGGAAATAGCTGTGGGTTCCCAAGTCTTCCCCGGGCTCCTAGGAGCACACAGGGTTTAAGGTCAAGCAGGGAATAGGCTGAGAGCATGGAAGACAGCAATGCTCTATTATCTCTTTCTGGGCTTTGTCACTGTCCTCTGTATCTCAGGGAGGAGAAGACACACGAGCGTATAATTGCCAGGCACAGAACACAATGATTGCAGGAGAGTACTGGGTGGCGTGAAGCTGAAGGTGGCTTGGGAGATGGATGGGAATCAGGTTATCAAAGTAGTAAACATTTACTGGGCCAGGATGGCACAGTTATAACATACTCACCCACTTGAACAGAAATACTCCCAGGGAAATGCAGTCCTGTCCTATCTGTATTTACAATGGAGGGGTTGTGGCTTAGCAGACAGAAGAGGAAGCCAATCACAAGTGTGCACAAAAGAGGCAGGGGGTCCCGACAGGCGGGTGTGCCGAGTGGCTGCGGCAGAATGGAGAGCAGGGCATGATGAATGTGAGTAGTGGGTGGGGTCGGCCGAGGCCAGAATTCAGTGCAGGGGCCAGAGGTCCATCTCTGACATGGAGGACAGAGGGTCAGGTGCAAGGAAGAGAGAAACAACTGGCCCAGGGAACGCTCTGGAGAGGCATTGGGCCTCGTGGCCACTTCCCAGGAGCTCTGGGGCAGGGCGCCTGGAGGCTTTGAAGTCAAGAAGCCAGAGCAGGACACATGAGAAGGGCCAGCGGAATGGAAGAAGCAGTACCTACCGCCCGCAGAGCCCCGCTCTGTGTGAGGTGCTGGCTCATCTAATCCTCACACAACTCTAGGAAGTGCCACTGTTCCTATTCCACTTTCTTCATGGGGACACCAAGGGACCGTTGTGCTCCATGGTTAAGATCACCCTCTAGTGAGTAGTGGAGCCCGAATAACACAGAGGTGTCTGCCCCTGGGCCGTGCTCCCCACTGCTGCATGCTACCACCAGCTCCCTGCTGCGGCCGTCATTCTGACCGGCAGGGTAGACAGTGGTACTGAGTATTCCTAGGCCACGCCTCCCCTCTCTACCCCTGTCCCTCGCTTTCAACAGAACCTTGTGATGTTCCTGAGTGTCCTCGTGGACTGGATGATCCCAGATATCCCCACGGACATCAGCGACCAGATCAAGAAAGAGAAAAGCTTGTTGGTGGACTTCTTCCTGAAAGAGGAGCATGAGAAGCTCAAGCTGATGGATGAGACAGCCTCCAGCAGCCAGGGAGCAGGGCCCCAGAGCAGGAGGAGCCGGGCGGCCAGCTCGGCTCCCTCCGGCCGGAGCCAGCCGGGCAGCATTGCATCTTCCGGCTCTCAGCACACCAATGTGTGAGCAAGCCAGCCCCTCTGCCCAGGGGGCGCTGCAGCAGCGGGAGACCACGCACACGCAGGGCTGTGCATCTGCATTGTGTGGTGTCTGTCATCTGCCCATCTGGCCTGGGAGGGTCTTGAAAAGGGTGTGTGTGTGTGAAGAGAGAGAATGAGCTCAGGGAGGAAGAAAAATGATGCTGCTTCTTAGAAACTTCAAGTTTAAGTTTCTTTTAGGTCCTCTTTTGAGCTGTACCCTTTTCAGGAATGGGTGCCGTTTTGAGTCTCTCTACCCTAGGATTTCCAGACACTGAACCTAAGGGTCCTTATGACTTTGATTAAATTTACCTTTAAGTCCTAGCTCTAGAAATTATACCCCTCTCTCCATATATGCATACCCCTCAGAAACATAGCCTTCACTCCATCTCCCATAATCAGCAACCTCCGAGGCAGCAGAATACAGTAGCCAGGACCTGACTAATGGTCACAAGTTCTGGCTAAGCTAAAGATAACATCTTGACCTAAGTTATGTTTCAGTTTCTGAGTCCTAAGGTGGAATGACCCCCTGGCTACTTTCCCATGAGACTAGACAGAGGGACACTGGAAAAGAACTCAGAACTGTCCTTAAGGCCTGAGGAAATGATCTGTTACCCTTCTCTTACATCTGACCAATCAGCTTCCAGCACCACCCTGAACCCCTAACCCACAGGGTCTTATGACTTTTCCCTATATAATCTGTAACCTATACTCTACTGGAGAGTTAGGATTTTTTTAAGAGCAATTGGTCAATTCAATATTAAACTTTTTTTTTCTATGCTGCGAACCCCTTTTCATGCATTTCTTTGAGCCATGGCGTGCAGGCAGGTGGACTCAAAGGAAAACATCAGGGTTTTTGTAACAGCATCATGTGTTTTCCTCAGGTACCTCTCATTTCAGATGGCCACAGGCTATGACAGAAGCATAGTCAGGGCCCTGGTCTAGCACCCATCATAAGTGATCATCACCCAGCTTCCCACCATCACCCCAAGAAAATCCTGAGTCACTTTCAGCCAGGGCTGTCAGAGCCTCAGAGGATGCAAATTAATTACGGGCTGACCACTGTGGCTGCCGGACCCGATGGTGAGCTGCAAAGTTTCAAAACTGAGCTTGTCTTCAGTTCATGATCTAAACGCAACTAACCATCATTTTATGCAGATTCAGATTTAAAATAATAAAATAAATTGAGACATTCTTTGTAAAGATGCTTCTCCTTGTCTTTGGTTTTCTCTCTCTCCCCCCCTCTGAACAGTATTTGTTGAGTACCTACTATGGGCCAGGCATTATTTTCAGACTAGAGATACATGAGACAAAAATCCATGCGTCATGGAGCTGATGTTGTGGGGAGAGACAGACAATAAGCTGATAAATGTATACTGTTTTAGATAGTAATAAGTGCTATGGAGAAACAAAAGGAATAAGAAAGACAGGAAGTATGAGGACACAGGAGGTGAGGGATTTACCATTTTATATAAGAATTCACTTCAACCCCAAGATGATTACATCTTGCAATGCTAACATCATCGATTGGTAGCAGCTTCCCAGAGCTCTGTGGTGAGAAGATTTTCAAGTATAGTTAGAACAAAGGGCCAAATATTATTCATTGTTGCCTTTCACACACACCGAAACCCCACCTGTTGCCCAGAAACCAGCTGTGCAGTCCTTTTCCTCTAGACCTGGCCCTGGTTTTGCAGATCAGTCTGACTGTAGTCTAACTCAGTGCCTGAATGGAAGTTGCAAAGAAGCCCATGCTCCAGAGGAGAAATGAGACTTGTTGTGCTGATATTTCAACACACCAGTGATGCCAGGGCCCATTGGTGCTTGGGCTGGTCATCATTGCTGCTCTCCATGGCTTCCTGTTTCCTCCTGGCCACAAGCAGGATCACTCTGCTTCCAACCCTTGATCTTGGGCCCATTTATTTATTTATTTATTTGTTTGTTTGTTTATTTATTTATTTACTTATTTTCATCCTCACCCGAGAATATTTTTTCCATTGACGTTAGAGAGAGTGGAAGAGAAATGTATCAGTTGCTCTTCTAAGTGGCTGTACATTGTAGCAGGAGATTCCAGCAGGCAGTGTAAGGCATCTAGGAGCTCAGACAAGAACAGGACAGGACAGGGAACCCACGGACCAGTCTTTGCCCCGTGGCTACATCGAAATACAGAGTGGGGCAAACGTGAGTTTACAACTGTTCGTATGGCAAATAATACAGTAACTCGTAAATGACAATACAGGAATAAACTCCATGTTTCGTGTGCTCACAACTGTAAACCTACTTCTGTAATACTCTGTATATAGCCAAAAGGGTTGGGGTAAAAAGGGAATTAGAACTCCCCTGTCTTTTTCTATTGTCATAGTCATTTCCTTAGTTGGCCAGAATACACCTTCAGATAAACTTTTTATTTTTTTATTTTTTTTTACAAATTGGTGTTAAAGATGCCACCAAGCTTCCTTCAGGACTGAGGTGCTCATTCCCCAGTGGCAGTCGAGCCCCTGTCGGAACTGTCTTAAATGGAAGGGCTGCCTGGACCAAGGCCACTCCTCTGCTCTGGGGCAGCCCATCAGCCGCTCATCACTGCAGCAGCTGAGGCTCATTTTGCCTCCTTTCGGGGTGACTTTTAAGGGTCACCCCAGCTCCAGAGCTCCCTGTGGGATTGGCAGAGGTCTCTACCACAATTCACTGTAGCCCAGCTTCTCCCTCTGCCTAGATCTGCTTCCCTCATTCCCCAGGGGTCGTCCTGGAGCACACTTCCGGGTGAACCTCCTGCTAAGTGTGCAGGCCTCGAACTCAGTCAGCTTTCCGGATGACCTGACCTAAGACATGCAGCATTTGCCTTAGTGTTGGAACGATGATTTGGTCACATCTGGTATTCTCAGATCACCATCCTTTCTCTCAAAACAACGTGGCTATGACAACAAATCCATGCCCACTTTTCTCCTCCTGGGTGATGCTAACAGGATTTTAAAATGTATTCCTGTAATTCAGAAACTTCCCTGGACTATGTGTTGTTATGAATGCCTGAAATGGGACGATTACATTCAGTCTGCATTCACTTCTTTCTGAGCTCCAAAAAGTGTTCTTCCAATACCAGAATGGAGTCCAGTGCATCCACTCCAACTGTTTTGATTAATTTTTAAAAACCCTGAAGTTTTAGATTGGTTGTCCAGTTTTTCAAATCTTCATGTCCACTTCTCCTCTTTCAACATTTTGTTTCTACCCTTTCATGCTCATTCCAAAATGCGCCTCCCCACTGAATCAATTCATCTGCAGCAGGTCCTCAAATAACATCATTTCATTCGATGTCATTTTGTTATCATGTTGATGAGAGAGAAAAGTTTGATTCTCACTTGGGACCACTGTCTGTGTGGAGTTTATATGTTCTCTCCATGTCTGTGTGGGTTTTCTCTGGGGATTCTGTTTTCCTCCCACATCCCAAAGATGGGCTTGTTAGGTTAACTGGTGTGTCTAAATTGTCCCAGGGAGGGTGCGTGAGTGTGGGTGTGTGTGTGGGTGAGTGGCCCTGCAATGGATGGGCGTCTTGTCCAGGGTGGGTGCTAGCCTTGCACTCTGAGCTGCTGGGATAGACTGGCCACCCATGACCCTGAACGAGGCAGGCGCTAACTTCCATTCCTGTCCTGACATGTACAATTCTACAGGTTCACCACAGCATGGCAAAAATGCAGAGTACGGATGAATGTTGAAAGCTCAGTCTTATTTTTCACATTACCATTCTACTCATCTTTCACATCTGTGTCTCGGGTATTTTAACCCAGTTCTGTCCATGTAAATGTTGTCCGAATTTCCACTCTTGCCCTCACCCACAGTGGTATCTGATCTGCTCATCCACAGCAGAGGGCGCCAGAGAGCAGAACCCACCCTTCAAGGTTAGCTCCACATTCTGGAAAACAAAGCAGATGTTTCCTCAGAAAGCCTCTTTGCATATGGGGTTGGCCTCCTGCTCCCCTTCCCCTTCTTCCCTGTTCTCTGGCACAGCAGTGAGTGCCGGTGCCCCAGAACATATCCCTTCCGAAGATGTTCTCACCAGGACTTTCACCCAATCAGAGGAACCCACTTACTCTTCTGACCTTCCCATGTCTCATGCAGCTTTATCTGCAGAAAGGAAATGCAAGGTGAAAGTCCTACAGGAATGAAAAAAACACAGCTCTCCACGTGAGTTCAGGGAAACTTCGTGTTTTATTGCCTCACCTTTCACTCACTTCCTGTTGGCCTACCAGAGCCAGGAGTGGAGGACTGAGCCTTCCAAGCCAGGATGTCGCCCTCAATTAGGAGAATGAGGCCACACACCCTAAAGGAGAGAGGCAGGCTTTTGACATGGATCCCACATCATAACCTGCTCCTAGTTTTCTCCCAGCATGATGGACTCTGGTTGGCCTGCATAGAACTCTTCAGAGAGTATGTGTCAACTTCTATTAAGAACCACATCTGCTTGGTCTGAGTGAGGCTGCTGGTTAAGAAACAGATGAGGCCCCCAAAATAGGCCTCTTCAACCCTATTCCATAGGCCTCACACCTACTGCATTCTCAGAAATTTCTCTGTCTGCCTTATCAACTTCAGACTTGGTTTTCTTAACTGCCAGCTCCCGACTTCGCTGTGCTCCACCTGTCTCTTTCGATTCTTTTTTCCTTGCCTAGACTGATTGCCCACTGTTTTATCTCTCCATCATGCCAGAGAAGCCAGGTCCCCAAAGTTCTCCAGGCCTTTCGGCCTCACCACATATGTGCCACCAAACCCAGCCCGTACCTAGGAACTCTCAGAGAGTCTCACCAGCCTCGACTCCCCTTCCATAAGGGACAGCAGAGGCCCTGGTGGTCTTTCCTGCCACCCTGACCCACTCTAATAAATGCCTAATTTGAGCTATGAGTTGAGGGTCTCAGGGTGTCGAGAAGAATCAGCCCATTTTCTTCCCTCCAAACCAAGCTGAATCTAGGGGTTTGCCTCTCAACCTGTGGAAGCATCATTGTGTCTGCTCTGGGCAGTTCTTCATTACACAGAGGGAAACCTCTGTGCCACCTTCCCCAGATCCACAGCCTTTAATCTGACCTGGCAGAGCTGGTGCGAGGGGATGGCAGGGGAGGCTAACCTGGGTCGCACACGGATAAAGCACTGCCTCTGCTCAGGACTCAAAGCGCGGACACCGCGGAGCCGGAGTGAGACTATCGTCAGCCTCTCCCGAGCCTGCGCTCTTCCCCTCTCGGGAGAGGAGAGGCGCACCGCTCGCTGTCCGAGTCTGCATAAAGACTTTGTGGAGACAGGGTCTCTCATGCGGTGCTGAGAGAACTTACTCTAATGGGACATGCACTCTGTTTTGGAGCCGGGCTTGGGTTCTAGGACCCACTCTCCCAGTGGGGCAAGCTCCACAGCTTCTCCGAGCTGCTTTCTCCATCTGGAGCATGGAAAGGATACTGCCCTGCCCCCTTCCTTCCCAGCGCTGTCCTTGGTAAGCCACTGAGCAGAGATGGACATGAGGCAGTTTGTTAGAATTAGCACATACATTTCTAAGCAGATAAACATTATTATAAATGGCTAAAAAAATGTGTAGGTCCAGTCCTGGCTGGTGTGGCTTGGTTGAATGTTGTCCCATGCACTGAGAGGTCACCAGTTCATTTTTAGTTGAGGTACATGTCCCAGTTTTGGGATCGACCCTCAGTAGGAGGCATGCAGGAGGCAGCCGATTGGTGTTTCTCGCTCGTTGATGGGTTTTTTTTTCCCCTCTCCCTCTGAAATCAACAAAAACATATTTTTAGAAATGTAGGTCCAATATGAGGGCCATTGGTAGAGACTGTTGTGGCCAGCAGTAAGCCTAAAGTCTAGGCTGGGCAATTCCCAGAGGCTGGCACAGATGCGGGAAATGGAGGGCTTGCAGAGTACCTGGCACTGCCTGGTCAGTGTTCTTGACATCAGCACATTTGCTGAATGCCATTTCGGGCTGTGTTTCCAGATGAGTAAACTGTGGAGGAGGACCTCAAATGAGATGTCACTGCCCCGGATTCACTAAAGAATTACTGTCTCCCCAACCCCCACCCCAACACACACCCACTTCTATTAACGTGCCTTGGCATTTAAAACAAATGCCTTCCTTGCTTTGACGTCGAGTAAATATGTCGCGGTTTTTTGAAAACATTGCACCAACTCCATTAAAAACATATCAAGTGATG